ACAGAAAAAGGGGGCATGTGAATTTGTGTATGTGAATCCACGAACACCGCCATGCCGTCAAATCCCGGCACTCTACCGAATACCGTGGGGTCTGAGACCCAGCTGTTAAAGTCTTCATTGAGTAACGGACCAAAGACAACGGCCAATCAACAGGTTGTGAAAAAATACTATCATCTCCAGGAAGAGCACCAGCAAAATTTTGTTCAGTCCCAGAACAACCAGAACAGTCATAACACGGAAAAACAGATCAATCACATTCAAAACACTCGGATTATCAACAATGTGCAGAGTGGTACATCGAAGTCAAAATTGAAGGCCAGAGAATTGCCACATCTAGCGGGTCCAACGAATCGGGATCTTTTCGCCCAATCCCCGGTGGCAGTGCATCATGTGTCCTCGGTTAGTCAACAAAATCGTCGGTCGGACGATCTGTCCGAGGAGTTGACTAGTTTCGCCAGTGAAACACGACCCATCAGCCCCCAGTCAGGGTTTAGCCCTTCGCCTGAATTTACCACTTCCAGCAATGCTGTGTTTACAAACAATAGCAGAGTGAGCCCCAGCTCGCCGTACAAATCTCCCATGAATGCACGTAAAATGCTGACCAATGATTCGCGAGTCGGCAAACGTGTCGAGTATCACACACGTGAACGGGTTCAGTCCGCAGTGACCTCGGCCCCTCCGGCTGAAGACATTGTCGAGTCAGTTATGCCTTTGGAAGGGAATCAACAACGCTTGAAATTGTTTGAAGCACCTCCGTGGATGAAAAGGGCTGCACACCATAGTACATCATCCACCGGGCGTCACACACCCAGTGTGACGGGGGCCAGCACGACAGAAGGATCATCAAACAATACCACGGTCGTGGAACGACGTCATGTCGCCCGAGCATCGCCGGCCACCGGTGCAGCTAGCACATCACACTTTCGCCGAGTCGGTAGTTTGCCCCATTCGTCCACTCATTCAAAACGACTGTCCAGCTCCGTGCCGGCGAAAACCAGTTCGTCCACAATCAAAGAGAATGAGATTGTTGTGCGTCGAAACGGTTCTTTTTCTCCCCCACCACGTCGGGTGACCACAGATTCCGATCCGAGTAAGCTTGACTATGCGATATCTTCGAGCTATTCAATTCTAATTTTTATTGTTTTTTTCATAGTCTACTCAGTAGGACAAATCATAAGACACATAAATATTTATATCGCAACGTTGTACAAGTTAACTTGTTGCTTAAGGGAACCAAATCTAGTTCCATACACCACATCAGTGTCTCTATATTCCCTAGGACCGATTCTGCATCGGGCATCCATCTCTGGATTAATG